GAATAAAAATTTTCAAGAAATGGCTTCTCTGTCTATCGTTTTGAGTTTGTTGATTCGTAAAATTAGCTCAAAACACGATCGTGACTACAACATCCAAGCTGAATTTAAGCTTAAATGCTTCTCACATTCATTACATGCATCTCTTTTTGCGAAGGTGTCAGGTTCAGGTTTTGGACACTCGAAAATATTTTTACTGTTTATTGTAGACTTTTAATATAAAAACCTATTTGCAGTATAAGTTTACTGTGCAGAGGGTCAATGAGGCATCGTTTTTTGAAGTGACAACTTCAAGAAGTTGCGAGGACGTCAATGGGTTTCAGAATGTTACGTTTGGTCCGGGTGGTAAGGCAACAATATCCTGCTCAGTATTTCGGTACGATTCCTGGTTTCAACCTTTGAAAGCTTTCTCGGCTTTTGGGAGTTTTTCCCCCATTTGTCGGCCATTTTTTTAAGCGGGCGCGGGAACCTGAAGTAAAATTACGTCACGTTGTTTAAGAAGTTTGGTTGGTCAGTTATCTTTTTTTCTTGTTCCAAATATGGTACTTTCGAAACTGAATAATCACAAGCATCGGACAAAGCAACCATATGAGAGTTACACGTCTCAACCCCTTATGAGTTTCTGCGTATACACAATAGCCAGAGTAATAAACAGATCTTTTTCTCGTTGGAATTTGTGAATATATTACTTCAGATGGATGCTAAGCTGTAAAAAAGGCACCTTCACTTTTTTAATTCAGCATTCGTAGTGAACTTGAAACTGGACTTTTTTTCCAAATTTCATTTGGGAGTAAAAGGGGTAACTTGTAGCTAACAGTAAGATTAATGAGCAACAGACAAGGAAGTGAGCTGGAAGCAGCATATTTCACATTAGTAGCAAAACAAGTTGTTATCTCATCAGTCATTACATTTTCACAACAGGCATTAATTAATTTGCCAACAGTAAGCTGGCAAATGACCAATCTATGACTGATTCATGTATATGTATATGGCGAATACAGAGCTATTCTCTCAATCTTTTATACAGTACCGCTCAAAAGTAAGTTGACAGTCACTCGCGTCTCGAGACTTGATTGTCGATTCTCGAAAATTTGGAGGATCGAGTCTCGCATCTAGAGGATCGAGTCTCGAGTTTCAATGATGGAGGATCGAGGATTTGAAAAAGTCGCTTTTTGTTACAAATAAAGTTTTCCATGAAATCATTGTGTGACTACGTGTAGATTTGCATATTTACATACAGTAACGGCATGACAAGCCACAGTATCGACTGAAACGCGCACGTGAAAATTTCGCTTTCTAGAACAAACGGAGTTTCTCATGACTTTAACAACATTATTTACATACGCCAAACGCGCGACAAGCCACGGAATCGCCGAGTTTTGAAATAAAATTATCGACTGAAAGGCTACATGTCCTAAGCCGCCTTTCCACGAAAGGACACGCGAAAGAAGTTGAAGCTTGACAAACAAGCAAATTTAACAACTCAAATGTCGTAATCTTCATCAAGATAATACCACAACAAGCTTAATTTACAGAATGAATTGCCGAGCGGCACCGTTCATCTGTAAAAATCTCGGAACATGGGGAGCAAAGGGTACATACACTACACATGCAGGATAAATCTTCGAAAATGAAAATATCGATTCACACTTATTGAAAGCTTGCCGAACCCCGACAATTCAAACAGTTACAGAACACGGCACCGCAAGCACTGATCGACGGTGCGAATATCTGAACGGCTATGTGACTGTATAACATCGTTCTTTCGGAAAACCTAGCTTCTTGGATCGTCGATCCTCGATCATCGAAACTCGAGAGTCGATCCTCGCCTCTAGAGACTCGATCCTCACATCTCGAAACTCAAAGCAAATCAATCCTGCTCATCAAATTTTTTTGGGCTGGTTGAAATGACTTTCAGGCTAGTACATGATAGCCACAGCTTGCCATTAATTATTTTGGGCAAGCTGTAAAATTGACTTTCTTTGCACCCTGGAAATTTATACATTGTTGACCCTTCGTACTTACCTTTCCAGGTCACTGCTCACCCAACTTAGTATTTATATTGCTAAGTGATGTGTTTGACTGCATTACTCTGGAGGAGTGTGATCCATTGTTCTCCTTTGTAGAAGAGAGAGTTTCTACCTGGACCATGGTGAGTCATTATCTGACGCAAGTGAAATGCTATCATGCCATTACACTTTGCTTATTGGACACCAGAGGCCAACATGTGTTATAGGGTTTTTCTTAATAATATTATTATTTTGGTCCTTTGAGCTTAATCATAGCATTATATAACAGTGCAATACAGCTGAACTCCATTGACAACTTTTTCAGTCATTCAAACCAGTATTTTTTGGGTTGTATCCTATAATTTTGGTGTTAGAAAACTCACATCACCTCCCAGCGGCGTGCCAAGGTCCTCCTACAGCTGTATTTGACTGCTTTAATCTCTCTTTGTTATTTGTCGCAAATGTTGTGACAGTTTATATGTGTATTTTGTTATTTTACAGTTGAAATAGGACTGTATTCATTCATTCATTCATCTTTATTGGTTAATCCAAATTTACAATTTTATTTTCTCACTGCTCACAAATAGCAAGGGCTAGTCTAGGTGGTTAGTGTCTACATCATATACAAAACAACAAAATACGCACTCCAAATTGTATTCAATTCACTAGTAAACAAAAGTAATATTTATATAAATGAACAACTAAAGAGCATTACCACCAACATGGCTATCATCATTGCAAATTTAGCATGGTGAAATAGTCATGCTGGAACAGTAATAGTAGAACAGTGATGGTGGAACAGTAATGGTGGAACAGTACTGGTGGAACACTAATAATGGAACAGTCATGGTGGAATAGTCATGGTGTAACAGTCATGGTGGAAAAGTGACGGTGGAACAGTCATGGTCAAACAATGATGGTGGAATATTAATAAAGGAACAGTAATGGTGGAACAGTCATGGTGGAACAGTCATGATGGAACAGTGACAGTGGAACAATCTTGGTGGAACAGTCATAGTGGAACAGTCATGGTGGAACGGTCTTGGTGGAACAGTCATGGTGGAACAGTAATAGTGGAACAGTCATGGTGGAACAATCAAGGTGGAACAGTCATAGTGGAACAGTCATGGTGGAACAGTAATAGTGGAACAGTGACGGTGGAATAGTAATGGTGGAACAGTAATAGTGGAACAGTAACAGTGGAACAGTAATGGTGGAACAGTCATGTCTCAACAGGAATAGTGGAACGGTGACGGTGGAACAGTCATGGCGGAACAGTGACGGTGGAACAGTCATGGTGGAACAGTGATGGTGGAACAGTTATGGTGGAACAGTGACGGTGGAACACTAATGGTGGAACAGTCATGGTGGAACAGTCATGGTGGAACAGTGACGTTGGGACAGTAATGGTGGAACACTCATGGTGGAACAGTAATAGTGGAACAGTAATGGTGGAACAAGCATGCCGCAACAGTAATAGTGGAACAGTGACGGTGGAACAGTAATGGTGGAACAGTCATGGTAGAACAGTCTTTGTGGAACAGTGAGGGTGGCACAGTCATGGTGGAACAGTAATGGTGGACCAGTCATGATGGAACAGTTAGGGTGGAACAGAAATGGTGTTACAATGGAGGGGAACAGTCATGGTGAAACAGTAATAGTGGAACAGTCATGGTGGAACAGTCATAGTGGAACAGTCATAGTGGAACAGTCATGGTGGAACAGTCATGGTGGAACAGTCATGGTGGAACAGTCATGGTAGAACAGTAATGGTGGAACAGTCATGGTGGAACAGTCATGGTGGAACAGTCATGGTGGAACAGTAATAGTGGAACAGTCATGGTGGAACAATCAAGATGGAACAGTCATAGTGGAACAGTCATGGTGGAACAGTAATAGTGGAACAGTGACGGTGGAACAGTCATGATGGAACAGTAATAGTGGAACAGTTATGGTGGAACAGTCATGGTAAAACAGTAATAGTGGAACAGTCATGGTGGAACAATCATGGTGGAACAGTCATGGTGGAACAGTAATAGTGAAACAGTCATGGTGGAACAATAATAGTGGAACAGTCATGGTGGAACAATCATGGTGGAACAGTCATGGTGAAACAGTGATGGTGGAACAGTCTTAGTGGAACAGTCATGGTGGAACAGTAATGGTGGAACAGTTATGGTGGAACAGGCATGCCGCAACAGTAGTAGTGGAACAGTGACTTTGGAACAGTATTGGTGGAACAGTAATAGTGGAACAGTCATGGTGGAACAGTCATGGTAAAACAGTAATAGTGGAACAGTCATGGTGGAACAATCATGGTGGAACAGTCATGGTGGAACAGTAATAGTGGAACAGTCATGGTGGAACAGTTATAGTGGAACAGTGATGGTGAAACAGTGATGGTGGAATAGTAATGGTGAAACAGTCATGGTGGAACAGTCATGGTGGAACAGTCATGATGGAACAGTCATCGTGGAACAGTAATAGTGGAACAGTCATGGTGGAACAATCATGGTGGAACAGTCATGGTGGAACAGTAATAGTGGAACAGTCATGGTGGAACAGTTATGGTGGAACAGTGACGGTGGAACAGTCATGGTGAAACAGTCATGGTGGAACAGTCATGGTGGAACAGTAATAATGGAACAGTCATGGTGGAACAGTAATAGTGGAACAGTCATGGTGGAACAGTAATGGTGGAACAGTCATGGTGGAACAATCATGGTGGAACAGTCATGGTGAAACAGTGATGGTGGAACAGTCTTGGTGGAACAGTCATGGTGGAACAGTAATGGTGGAACAGTCATGGTGGAACAATGATGCGGTAACAGTAATAGTGGAACAGTGACGGTGGAACAGTAATGGTGGAACAGTGATAGTGGAACAGTAATGGTGGAAGAGTGAGGGTGGAACAGTCATGGTGGAACAGTCATGGTGGAACAGTCATGGTGGATTAGTGACGCTGGAACAGTCATAGTGGAACAGTGACGGTGGAACAATTATGCTCTAACAGTCATGGCGGAACAGTCATGGTGGAGGAACAAAAGAGTCATCGTGGAACAGTCATCGTGGAATGGTAATAGTGGAACAGTCATAGTGGAACAGTCATAGTGGAACATTCATGGTCGAACAGTCTTGGTGGAACAGTCATGGTGGAACAGTAATAGTGGAACAGTCATGGTGGAACAGTATTAGTGGAATAGTAATGGTGAAACTGTCATAGTGGAACAGTCTTGATGGAACAATCATGGTGGAACAGTAATAGTGGAACATTCATGGTGGAACATGTACAGTAAGAGTGGAACAGTCATGGTGGAACAGTGACGGTAGAAGAGTCATACTGCAACACTTATGGTAGAACGGTTATGGTAGAACAATAATGGTGAAACGGTTATTGTGGAACAGTAATGGTGGAACAGTCATGGGGGACAGTCATGGTGGAACATTAAGAGTACAACAGTGACAGTTGAACAGTCATGGTGCAACAGTATTAGTGGAACAATAATGGTGAAACAGTCATAGTGGAACGGTGACGGTGGAACAGTCATGGTGGAACAGTGACGATGGAACAGTGGTGATGGAACAGTCATGGTGGAACTGTCATGGTGGAACAGTCATGGTGGAACAGTCATCGTTAAACAGTAATAGTGGAAGTGTGACGGTGGAATAGTAATGGTGGAACAGTCATGCCGCAACAGTAATAGTGGAAACGTGACAGTGGAACAGTAATGGTAGAACAGTCATAGTGGAACAGTCATGGTGGAACAGTGACGGTGGAACAGTGATGGTGGAACAGTGATGGTGGAACAGTCATGGTGGAACAGTGACGGTGGAACAGTCATGGTGGAATAGTGATGGTGGAACAGTGATGGTGGAACAGTAATGGTGGAACAGTCATGATGGAAGAGTAATGGGAGAACAGAAATAGTGGGACAGGCATGGTGGAACAGTGACCTTGGAACAGTAATGGTGGAACACTCATGGTGGTACAGTAATAGTGGAACAGTAACAGTGGAACAGTAATGGTGGAACAGTCATGTGGTAACAGTAATAGTGGAACAGTGATGGTGGAACAGTAATGGTGAAACAGTCATAGTGGAACAGTAATGGTGGAACAGTGATAGTGGAACAGTCATGCTGGAACAGTCATGCTGGAACAGTCATCGTTGAACAGTAATAGTGGAACGGTGACGGTGGAACAGTAACGGTGAAACAGTCATGGTGGAACAGTCATTGTGGAACATGGAAGGTGTAACAGTCATGGTGGAACAGTAATAGTGGAACAGTAATGGTGGAACAGTCATGGTGGATTAGTGACGGTGGAACAGTCGCAGTGGAACAGTGACGGTGGAACAATTATGCTTGAACAGTCATGGTGGAACAGTCATGGTGGAGGAACAAAAGAGGCTAACTTCTACAGGATTTGTTTTGAACACTAATGTGGCCACCCTTTCATTGTTTTGTAACACCAATACAGCTGCTATGATGTCATGCGAAAATGCTCTATAGTATAGTACTGTAGTAAATTGAAAGATTATATAAACTATTCTTTTTAATCTTTTTCAGCCCTTGTTCTTCTCTGCTGGAAAGAACCTTCTTCTCAGAATTGGCAATGGTGAGGATGCTGATTTTGCTGTATTTCAGTGGTGTTACTGCTGTTTTTATTTGCTGTAATTAATTGGGTCCATACAGCAAATAAAGAAATATATAGTGGATATTACATGGTGGCCACGAGAAAATAAAATTCATGTCTTCAAGCCGCCATGTAATGTTCTTTTTATTATATAGACAAAAAGACAGGGATAACGTAATAGATTTTTATTTGCCAAAAAGAAAGATGCCTACAAATACCGAAATTACGTCATCGATAAACTCATGTGTGAGATTATGGAAAATAAACCACTCAGGTCTCGGATGTAGTTTTTATGAATTTTACGAGTGGGATATTTTCCAGTAAAACACTTGTATCTATATAATAAAAATGTAAAAACTTTACATCTGATAAGATATCACAGTATACAACCATCGATGAGAGCCAATCAAAATCCAAAGGCAAAAACCTATTTTTGAAAATAATATAAAAAGCCTTTGGCTAGAGTTAAAAATACTCTATACAATACTTATAAAAAATAAAATGTGCTTACTTTGTACAATAAATTGGCTTTGGTAAAAAATAACCCTGACCCTGTGTTTGATTTTCATAGATTTATTACGCCGTTTATCAACGTCACAAAATACAGTATTTTGTGGGAGGATACAGTTGTTTTTGGCAAGGTTGTTTCCTCTTTCCGAAAAGTCAGGTTTGTTTTTATCTATTTTAGTGTTTAATATTATTTTGCAAAAGTAAACTAAAGCAATGGAGGTTGGGACCAATCTTCAAAGTTATTTTTAGTTTACATTATTGTTGCTTCATTTACACATGCTACTGTTTTGATGTTGATGTTTTTAGGTCTGAATTTAATGAGTCATTTTAATTATGAAAACATCACCACTTACACTCAAAGAACAGCAACAGATCTGAAGGTGGGTCATTTTATATCTTTCACTCCTATTATTAGTACATGTGCTGAGATTGCCAAGTGGGTCATACTTTATTGTACGGCCTGTACATTTTCATCAAACAAAATTAATACGGCAGATTTACATGATATGTTTTTAAACAAAGGCTGGTTAAAAATACAATCATTCTCAAGAATTAAATGAATAAAAGGAGAACAGGCTAGAAAACTGGTGATGATGATGATGATCTTTTGTCCACAGACATGTTCTGATGATGTCAGGTTACATGTGTTTTCTCTCCTTAACCCTTCAAGTCCCAATAGTGACCAACATCAATTTTCTCCTAACAATATCCATACAATGTCAAGAGATTAGGTTATGAGAATTAATAACATGATCACCTAAGAGAAAATGCTTTGATCTTTTATCAAATTCTCTCAACTCATTCTTTAAGGAAATGTATAGAGATCAGTGTGGAGAATTTGTACATGTATATTGGAGCTTAAAGGGTTAAATGTCTATTTTACAGGACAAATCTAGCACAGGAAGTGAAATGGAGGTGGATGATAGAGAAGCTGGTGAATTAACATCAAGGTAATGTTGACTCAAAGGAAAAACTTGTGAATGCACCAAAAATGCAAAGAATTACAGTGGTCACTTACGAGAAAGATGTATGGACACATCTACTTCATGGAAGATAATTTGTTGCATGAAATTTTTAAGTAACACCATACAATAATGTGTAGCTCCATGTTGTAGCTTACAAAATTTAAAAACAAAGAAAATTTTAAATCTGTCAGGCCCAAAAAGTGACTGCGGTTGCTTACAGGAGATGTCCTTTATGATAGGTTCTAACTGTAAGGTTTGGCTGGAGGGTGATTGTAGGGTTGATGTTAGCCCATTTCATTTCCAAGAACATTTTGCTATGTGTCTGTCTTCTTTGTTTCACAATTTACTTGTTGACATGCTGTTGGGAATAATAATATTGTTATGGATTTTCCTGGAATTTTTTTGAGATTCAAAACATTTCTGGAACAATAAGTAAGAATAGAAACGTTTGTAAAAAGCGTTATTATTTTTTTAATTGTTCTCTTGCAGTAGTAATGTCCCAATTGATTTTAATCTGTACAAGAAATTTTGGGCACTACAAGACTATTTTAGAAACCCAACTCAGTGTTACACTGCTGCAGCATGGAAGCCATTCACGGATGTAAGTTTGCATGTAACTGTCAGTGGTGTTTGTAGCCCAATGGTATTTATTTTATAGATACTTTTAAACTTGGTTAATACTGGATTGTTATCATAAACGTAGGTTGATGTCCTCTCCTAAATCCAGTTTTAATTGGCTAGAAAAGTCCAATAAATGTATTTTCAAGAAGTTTTAAAAGAGAGAGGGAATGTCATCCTTTTTACCACTCCCTTACCAGGATTAATCCGGCTACTTTTAAGCTTAGACAAGTGAAGCCTACACTTCCGACTTGTAATACTGAGTTCTTGAAAAATTCTTTTATTAAAAGACTTAGTTTTAATTACAATTTACAACCAATGTAGCTATTATTAATTAATACACATGAATATGTTCCTCAGCACATTCTTAGTTAATTATCATGTATAATCCATGTAACACTTGATACATGTATGTACTTTGTCATTGATAACAGTGACTTTTATTATTATTATTATTATTACTTGCTAATTGCCATTAACCATTGCCTCCTAGGACACAAAGAAAATTGATAATCAACCTAGGCTAAAAAAATTCTAACCTGAAATCAAATTTTGTTATCATTATGGTGTTTATTATAACAGGGTTTGTTAGAATGTAGTTGCGAAAGTAACTGTTGCAAAGTTGGAGGACAAAATTGTATGTTCCTCACTTACATTTTAGCAGCATTGAAATTCATTAAATTTGGTTTTAAATGAGTTAATGGACTTTGCTTGGCTCTTGACTGATTCTTTTATGTACATGAGGCTAGACACAAACCTATCACTTGTCTCAATTTTCTGCAGAATACAAAACAAGTCTTGAATGTGTTTAGAAGTCACAAACTAGAGCATGTTACATGGAAAAAGAAGGCATGGGACTTAAAGAATCTTGGAGGAAGGTACAAACAGACAGTAATACCATAACAGCCCTGTTTACTGAAAATCGGCCATTTTTAGCTGAATTGTCCCTTTCATTGTTTAACAAAGCCCTCTAGCTTGAAGTCTTGATTTATCATAAGAATTTCTTTTATCTTAATATTATACATGACATTATTTTTTCATTTAATTTTGTTCCCATGTCTCCAGTTGGCACCAACTAGCAAGTCACACTTCCTACTTACTCTTGAAAACTTTTTAGTATATGCATTTTGTTTCCAATTCTATTTCCCCTTGAACCAGACCTGTAATTCTAAAATGAGAGCCAACTTCAGTGTCAGGAACAGGCCCCAGTTGTTCAAAAGCTGGATTGTGCAATCCATTGGGAGAATCTTTATCCATTGGGCAGTGCAATTGTTGTCTCTAATACTCATCCATCGGATAGTGATTTATCTGATATCGCTATCCATCTTTTGGGCAACTGGGGCCTGCAATGTTTCTGGTCAGTAACACTGTGCTCACACTGTGGGTGAGTCCTTAAATGTTCTGCAGTTGGTTTACAATTGTTGGTTTTAATTTGGACCATTAGCCTTTAAATACATTGTATTGTTGTGGAATTGCACACATTTTACTAAGGCATCCTTCTGATGAAGGGTTACATCAGTTAAATAATTATTTTGTACTAAGAGATATCGTTGCGTTTCAATTTGTATGTGCTTTCGAGATGGGGATGTGTGAATGCTTCCGTGTTGTTTGTTTGAGTGCAATTGATGGTAATAATAATTATAATAATAAAAATTGTTTTTATTTGTTATCTTCTTAGCAAGGATGAGGCTCGTTATTTTGCCAAGTTTTTGACTAATGAGAAGGTAATATTTTCATACAACTGTAGTTTATGAAAGGGTTTTCAGAAAAGGAGTTTGAGTGGCCAAATTCGATCCCCACTGACATCACATCCTTGTTTCAACTTTTCTTAATTCTTTGTAGCTTTAACTAGCTTTACAGGTAAATACCCTTAAAATGGAACATTTATGGAGAGAGGGACTAAAAGTAATGAGCTCACTATCATCCTCAAGTTTTTCAGTTGAATTACTGTCACAAGTTGTTGACATAGAATACAGGTGTATGGTTGCGTTACCTTTTAATATCCTGACAAAATTCCCTTTCCATTAAACTCATCGCCAACTGATGAGCGTGGGAACTGGTGCCTTAAAAGTTAGCAGGGAAGGGCCCGAGGTAATCCAGGCACCGCAGGGGTCTCCATGGCAACCCAGCAAGCGGGAACCACCCCAGTAGCAGCCATGAACAGGCGCCAGCACACTGAAACTAGTTCGGTGGAAATACTTACCTAACCCGATACTAACCTCTGAAGTCAAGTAGCCCCCTGGGAAGGGAGGGTGAGGCTTATTAATCCACAAAGATTCACTCACAAAAGTACTGATCGCAACGATTGCTAGAGAGCAAGGCTGTATGAGGTTTGCCCCTGCGAACTCCAAAGAGGCGCCCCCACAGATCATGTGCAAACTGGGCAAGACTGCTGGCAGCATTAGCTCGAGATTAACCTTGCCTAATTTACGTTTAGCCACAAAGCATCAAAGTTTCTCAGTACATGTACATTTTGATATGTACATTTAAATGTCAGCTTTTGAAATAATACAGTTGGCAATGTGCATATTGAGGTTCTGGCCATCAGTTAGAAGAGTGGTACAGTCAGACTCTGCTTTATGGGCACCCATTTAAAGGGGACAGCTCAATATTATGGACAGTTTCCTTTACCGCGTAATTTTTTGCAGGGTTTGACTGTATGTGTAAATTGGTTTTGTTAATTCAGACCTCCTGACACTGTATGTGTTTCATTCTTTATCCAGCTCCTTGATCTTCAACTGAGTGACAGCAATTTCAGGAGAACTGTAAGTCAACCATTATGCCTCTAGTAAATTCAAGTTAAATAAATTTTTATTAGTTTGCCTTCTTCAAGGTTTCACTGTCACTAAAGTTATTCCTGGGGGACACTAAATTATCATTTGACGGAAAATAATGCATTGGGTGGCTAACCTTCAGAAAACATTTTGCAATGCCATCACTGATGTCCCAGCGAAATGACGTCTGGCCTCAGTTGTTCAAACATTGGATAGTGCTATCCAACGGATAACTCTCTATCCAGTGGATAAGCATTAACAAAACCAATAATTGCATTATCCACTGGTTAGAGATTTATCTGGTGGATAGCTTTATCCACCTTTTCAGCAACTGGGGCCTGATGTACAACCTCAGAAATACCATTCTAAAGATGCGGCACTACCCAGGATGGGATTTCTGTAGTCGATCATCAGACTTCATTTTGTGGGAAAACCAGTGGCGACATTACAAAATGTTAGCTGCTTTCTCATGCTATATTAGGGTGACCAATGTAAAAATGATATTACACAGTTAACCCAACACTTTAAAAATTCACCTTTTTAAAATCAGTTTGAACCTAAAAAAGGAAAGTGCGATTACACACTTTATGTATAATATGACATTGATGCAACAAATAGATGAATGGCAATTTAGCAGCATTCAGTCTGTTTTGGTGGACACTAACCACAATGAATGGACTACGTCAAATAACAGTCCTCAGTTTTTGGTTATAATTTCTGTAAAATGACACTTCCATTAAACATTTGTGTGAAATTTTGAGGAGTTAGAATTTATCGGTATGTTATTATCCTAACAGCATAATAGTCTTTGTTTTTTTTACAGATTCTTGTACAAATGTTGATAATTTATCAGTACCTTGTTGGAAATGTAAAATTTAAAAGGTGAGTCTGCATTCTTTTAAAGACTGTGAACTTTGCACTAACACCCACTGGTATTCATGCTCTTATTGAAGCATATTGGCTTCATTTTCATTTGTTTTCTGTGAAAGTAGCCAACAGTCGTGGTCATAACAGCAGGGAGAAATTAATGCCTGTCCTTTGGTGACAGCTCTAAATACAGGGTGTCCCAAAAGTTCGTTCCTCTAATTTCATGCACTATAACTTTTGATCAAAACTTTATTTTTACATGAAATTTATAGATGTTTATTTCTCTATCAAGTACATGTGTTCAGAATTTCAGTAACTGGCATGCCCTTTTTGTTTTTTTTATCACATTCTGTAGCCGTTGCAGCAAGAACTGCGATACAGCGTGCAGACCCACAAATGATCCATTTTGAGCTTTTTTATCAGCTGGTGCACAGGATCCAGTTCAACCCCCAAACAATATTTGTTTAGTCTAGGCAGCTGACAAAAAATTTATTTTGGGCTTTGATCCAAAAAAGATAATCATCCCAGCCTCCTTCCACAGCAAGGCTTTTGCAATTCTTTACAAATTTGAAACGAGCTGGGTGTTAATTGGCAGACTAAGCAGAGGTTTTTTATGCCATCTCAGGGGCCTCTAATTTTAAACATTTCGAACAGTTTTTCATGACCCTTTTATTTGGCTTCCTAACTATGTGAGATTGAGTTTCCTTGTCGAGTCTCCTATTTTGTATCTAGCCTTCTTTAAAACTATTTTAGCTGCTTTATTCAGGGCTTTTGGTCTTCCCCTTAGTTTCTTGCCTTCAAAACCTTCATTTCTCCATGATCATTCTACCACCCAATATTCGGACGTTTCCAGTCTTTTAGCAATTTGTACAACAGATAAGAAGTATATAGGCTTATGCTCTCACGCAGCTGAACGTTTTTGCGTTAAGGGGGTTTATTTTTCGTGATATTCACAAAAAACAAGGAAGGAGTTCGAGTGATTCGGGCTATGAAATACAAAAAATGTGTGGCTGGAAAATATACTCGCGCACATGCACCTTTGGTGTGCAAGTATGAAAACAAGTATGAAAATAGTAAATTATATTGAAAGACACAACTTTTGTTGAAATGATTTGCTTACCAAGTCCAATCGTTCTGAAATACAGACTTATAAAGTAGAGGAACGAACTTTTGGGACACCCTGTATTAGTAGTCCAGCCATATGCTGTAAAAAAATAGCTGAATTGTGCACTTTGGGGTAAAAGCATCAAACTCGGCACAGTGATAGTACTAGTTGCACTAATTATTTTTAGCTATGGACCCACTCAAATATGCACGGGGGGAGGCACATTGTGCCCTTGGGGGGGAGGGGTCATTGCCTTTTTGTTTTGGTCGCGAAAAAACTCAAAAACGGGAAGAAAGCGGCCTAAAAAACTTTTGCATTCCCATTTTCCTCAAAGTACTGCAAGGTAATCCTATAAAATACCTGTTACTTACTTTTCTGAGAGATTTTCTAAAATTATTTTAAAAGAGTGTGTGATTCTTGTCACAAGGGAAAGCCACGTAGAAGCAAGTTGAGTTCTGAAGGGCGGAATTAATTTGAGTTAAAGCATTACAATCTTATACATGCACCCCCTGACACATCAAAACACTTCATTAATATTTTTGAGATAACAGTTATATGACAGCAGACGTCTGATAACAGTTATATGACAGCAGATGTCTGCTGTTATATAACTGATAATGAGGTTATATACCTGTCATATAACTGATATAACTGATGATGTTATATAACAGTAATATATGGTATATAACAGTTATATAACTGTTATATAACTGTTATATATATAACTGTCATATAACAGTTATATATATAACAGTTATATAACAGTTATATATGTCATATAACAGTTATATAAAACTGTTATATAACATCATCAGTGTCATTACTGTTATATATACTGTTATATAACAGTCTATATGACAGTTATATAACTGTTATATAACCGTTATATAACCGTTATATAACATCATCAGTGACATTACTGTTATATCAGTTATATAACTGTCATATAACAGTTATCAGACGTCTGTTATATAAATGTCATATATACTGTTATATAACAGTTACATGTTATATAACAGTTATATAACTGTTATATGACAGCGTATATGACAGTTATATATACTGTTATATAACTGTTATATGACAGTTATGTAACTGTTATATAGCAGTATATATAACAGTAATGACACTGATGATGTTATATAACAGTTATATAACAGTTACATGACAGTTGTATAACTGTTATATAACAGTTATAATATAACTGTTATATATATAACTGTCATATAACAGTTATATGACAGTTATATATGTTATATTATACACTTAATGTCAGATTTCCTGAGGGAAACAGTTAGTTTTGTTTTCCCAAGAGTCCTGATAACTGGGAAACATCAGGACTCGAGGGAAAACAAAACTAACTGGTTTCCCGAGGGACCTGACATTAAGTGTTTTGTTATATTTCTAGACTTTCACTCCAACGTACTTCAACAGCAACAAAAGAATACGCTTAAGAGGAGCGAATCAAAACAGTACGACTCGGTACTTATAAGAACACAAATTTAATTCTCAAAACCACTGA